CCCTCCCCCCTCAAGAAACCTGCAAGAAACCTCTGCATAGGCACAATCTTGGCTCTTGCACCTCAGATCCAGGAAACTCTAGCAACAATAGCATTACCGAGTAACTCTAGTGAGAGGCAGACTGGGTAAGCGTATGCTCCACCCTGAGAAAAGGACATGGAAGTTGCTGCTGTCCATGCTTCCCTATTGCTCCTGGAAGTATCATTCCTGCCTGAGACACATGGACTAGATCCTCAGCTGATTTAAGTTAGATTTCAGAGGAACAGTGCTAATTTACAGCAGGTGAGGTTCTGGTCCAATTCTCCAGGAGTTGGTACTCAGTTCCTAGTGCTGCCCCCATGCCAGGAGTGAGGAACCTTGTTTTGCTTGGGGGCCACTGACCCACAAAAAGATTGTCGGAGGCCACATACAAGTGAGAAGAAGAAAAAAATGACTCACCTCACTCACACTCAACTTGGGGTGCCAGCCATGAGCCGCATTTTCTCCAACCCTGAGCTACACCAGATGGCCAGTGCACAGTCTCGCCCAGAGACAAAAGCAGATACACTCTATGCCCAGTTTATACCAATTTGCATGCAGCCCTCAGGCTCCTGGCATATTTTCAATGGACACAGTTAAGGTGCTCTTGGTGCAAGATAAAGGAGGTCTTTGAAATCTAATCCCAGGGAAGCCAGAAGCATATGACTATTTCCTGTTTCATTTTATTAAAGTGTTTCTTGAAATTCCCTGGTTAATTCCCTGTTAATATAGTAAATCAGACAAACTTGATGTGGCATAAAATAGGATACCAAATAAACCCCCCTGAGGCTGTGTCTAAATATAGCTTACTCTGGTTTTTAGCAGCTTGCTGATGGAGCTAGCAGATTGCATGCATTCTTCCTTCTGTAGCAGTAGGCAACGCTTTAAACTTTACAATACTCATGCAGAATGGTCTAGCATATGAACAGAATATAAAAATATATTACCTACTGCATCCGGAATGAAAAAGTTGTAGCCAAGAAGACTGTAGTGAAGCACAGATGGTATAATTCCCTTCAAACCAGCATAGCTCCAGTCCGACTGGAGAGGAGTCATTTGAATGAAGAGTGGCAGATGATTAGATCTAGGAGCAACAAGGGCAAATGAACAGCAAAACCAGACACACGTGTGCAATGTTTAGTAAGCCAGACTGCCTCAGCTCTTTTGAAAAGCATTACCTGCCTCACCCTGTGCAGAGACATCTGAGGGCGTGTGTACGCTGGACCTACAACATAGTGTGTATGACTATACTACGGGATAAGGTTGAATTAAGCTACACAACTTCAACTACATTAATTGCATAGTTGAAATTGAAGTACCTTAACTCAACTGTCGGCGCTGTTCACACTGCAAGAAGTTGAAGGGAGAACACTCTCCTTTACACTTCCCTTACTCCTCATGGAAACAGGACTAACAGCATCAACCGGAGCATCCCTCTCAGTTCGAATCAGTTGTCTTCACTAGACCCACTAATTCGAACCCTGGAAGATCAACGGTAGCACCTTTGATCTTCTCGGTAGTGTAGATATACCCAGTCTGAACACCTAGATAGAACTTGGGGTAGTTAGCTCATCCTGTCCCCTGTGCATGACAGATACGGATGTTTGTGTTTATCCAAGCTGGAAAATGACACCTCCTGTGCCAGTGTAGACGTACTCCGAATGCTCATCCCTACTAGAATAAGACACCATTTCCTTACATTTTTCAACACCAATGTCGTCTATTATAATTTCCACCCTCATAACTCCTCGCAATTTTTTATAGTGACTTTTTTATATGCTCTGGAACACGACTAGCAACAAATGGCACACCCTTAAACAAAACACCCATATATTATCTGAAAAGTCACAAACTTAGAGCTTGGCAGGTTCTTTGTCTAACTCAGAATATTCTTTCTACAACGTGTTTGGCCCCAATTTCTTCAAGTTTTAGTCATAGAGTTCACACTGCACAGCTTTATTTACAGTACATGAATTGGTGCATATTCTTAATTGGTTTCACTTTCAGTTTCCATGTCTAGCGTTAGATCAGTCTGTATGTTGAGCTAAATGTTCAATAATTACTTTTTCCATAAAATTAAAATTTCACTTGTCATAATATACTAGCACAATTTTTTTCCTTGGTAATTGGACCACGAGAGTAAAATGACTTGTTTCTCTAATTATTGAATTTTTCTTTCAGACACTGAGTCTTTGTGGTCATTTGAGAAATCTCTCCAGATACAGCCTACACTCTCTGGATGTAATTTTATAGCATTTACAGCAAACATTTTTCTGTAATGTCATGGATAGATAGATTTTCAGTCTTCATACAATCAGTGTTTAACTATTTCAAAAGATATTATAATTATATTACATTATACTGGTTTCTAAAGCAAATTGTAATGGTTATCTGTCTTTACAACAGAATATGGAACAAATTTTACTTTTCTATATCCTTTACTTACCTACTTACCATATTTAATGTAAGAACACTTCATTTTACTCCAGTGTCTAGGTAAAAAGGTCATAGTTCTGTCATTAATGATTAGCTATATTAATTAGTCTGAAACAGTAAATTCTACAGATACTATTAACAAAGAGACCAGAATTATAGAAAATTTCACCAAAATAGACACTCTTGACTTTAACTATCTGACATACTGTAACTTTGAAAAAATATTGTTTCATTGCTTTCATGGCATATTTGACCAAATGCTGGGCAATTCGTTGGCTAATGTACTTGACCACATCTAATGAGGAAAGATTTTTATTTTGATATCCTTCACTTCTAGTTTTGTCTCTAACATCACGACACTGAACTACTTGCTTATATTGTGTTGGATCACTATGAGCCAAAATCTACATTTCACTCAATTCATGATTGGCCCAATAAGATGTCTAAAACTTGGGTCATCTTCTCCACAAGAGTTTGCCTCATTTAGTCTTTTTTACTCGAGATTCAAGTCGTTTGGTTACCAAGAATCACATGATTCCTCAAATTCAAGTTTGAGCTTTAACCATCAAGTCAGTCACTTACAAGTTAACTAATATTTATTGCCCTTGACCATAAATTTTTAAAAAATGAATGTCATATTTTCCTAGGTTTCAGTAATTCTAAAATCACAGAAATACAGGGCTGGAATAGGTCATCTAGTCCTTCCCTCTGTGCTAAGGCAACATTAAGTAAACCTAGAACATCCCTGACAAAGTTTATCCATTCTTTAAAACTTCAATGACAAGGATTCTACAAACATCTTGGTAACCTGTTCCAGTGCTTACCTACTCTTAGGCTATGTCTACACTGCAGGCTTTTTGTGCAAGAACTGTCTTGCGCAAGAGTTTCTGCACAAAAATTATTGCACAAGAGTGCATCCACACTGTCATGTGCCTTTGTGCAAGAGTGTGGACGCGCTCTTGCGCAAGAAAGCTCTGACGGCTATTTTAGCCATTGGGGTTTCTTGCACAAGAAACCCCTGTTGCCTGTCCACTCTGCCTTCTTGCGCAAGAGCTCTTGCGCAAGAGGGCTTATTCCTCATGGGGAGAGGAATAACTCTTGCACAAGAAGCCTTCTTTTCTGATGCTTTATTGTAAATTTACTTGCGCAAGAACGCAACTGCAGTGTAGACTAGCCTTACCGTTACAAAGGTTTTCCTAATATCAGTATACATCACCTATGCCAAATCCTGTCAGACATTTGCATTACTGTTTGTCCTGATATGTAGAGAAACATCACAGCTGGCATTTTAGTTGCTTTCCCTGAGAAATTTAGAAATATCTGTTTAACTGGACAGTCAAAAGAAAATGTACAGTCTTTTCTTTTTTAAAAAAATGAATCTTGGCCTTTGTGTCCAATTTTCTGTAAAATCCTCATAAGGAGTTTGAAAATGTAGATATCCACAGATGGTTCCTGAGAAGAGTAGGGTGGAGATGGATACAAAATTTGTATCCGCATAGGCTTCTGACAGAGAGAGCCCGGCCTGCAGCTGTGAGGAACCATGACACAGACCCTCCACCTCTCCGGGGCAGGGAGGGGGGAGGGAGAGGTATGAGAGCAGCCCCCTGCTATATCCCTATCCCACCCAGGCTACCCACCTGGGCAAGGGCAAACACAGGATCTGCAGCACCAGGCAGGCTCCCCACAGGTGCCCATGCAGCTCTCCCTAACTGGTGGTGGGAGGGGTATCTTGGAGCCTCAGCCTGGCTGCCCAGTATAGAACCCTGCAAATCTGTGGATACGGATACCTCCTACAGAACAAAGGTAGACGCACCCTCTACTTGTTTGCATGGCAGAATGGGCAGCTGCCATTAGATAGCCTGTTTTTTTCCCCGTGTATGATACACCAACCACTGTTCCCCTCCAGGGAAGCCAATTGCAGATGAGGGGCATGAAGATGAGTTAGTCTGTGTACTTTAAATTATGCCCAGGCAGAATCTCTGGTTCCATGATGCCCAGCCAAGTTCCCATGACAGTTCCCCCTCTTCTTTGGCTGTTTGGACCCTAGTGCAGCATCCTGCTTGCAGTGAAACAGGACCAATAGGAGGCTTTAGATGTCTGTTTTCATTTTACTCTGTGAGCACCTTTCCTGAGACTCACCTTGTGCCAGCACTGATTATTGTCGAATTTCCCAGCGTAGCTGCCATTAGTGCAAAAATGCTGATGTATTTATCCCCTTCCAAGTCGCTGGGCGGCTGGATTGCCTGCTCCGTAAAGGTGTTTCCTTCTGCACCTTCAAACGTTATGTACTGTGCTCCCAGTCTCTGCCACAAGAGGCTCACCCTATCCAGGTACCAGCTTCTTGCAGCATCATTGGTCACATTCAGCTGAACGGAAAACTGCCCTTTCCACTTGATAAGCAGAGGAGTCTGTGATACAGCAAGGGTATTACAAGCCTGGGGTTGAATCATTATACACTTACTAATTCCAGAGCATCTGCAATTACACTAGCTACAATGGAACTGTGAAAGCGCTCAGTCCTTGTACAGTAGGACAAACTCATCCGTAGGTGAGGTTAGAAAGATGTTTTTCCCCATGCTAAAATACGCCATGCTATTATTCTACATTGCCTTTCATTTAGATAGCACTGAGCTTTCATTTTCTTCTGAAGACAATGGATTAGGGCATTGTTAGAAATAGGATTCTGGTTGAATACTGGTTGGGCATCCCTTAAAGCCATGATGTCCAACACACCAGACACTGGCCACATGTGGCTATTTGGCTGGTTGAGTGTGGCTAATTTGCTATAGCTGTAGCCACCATAGTGGCTACTGCTTCAGAACTGGTTGGACACCCTGGCCCTAAAGTGCTGTGGGGAAAGCATGACTTGGTGACACAAGAGAACAAACAGAGCTGTGTTGCTGGTGAAAGCATCTGAAATCATGAGGATGAACTGGCTTTGGATCAATCCCTATGTGCCTACACTTCTCTCCAGTCCAGGCTATTGGCAGCAAACCTGAAAACTCCTATAATTGAACAATTAAACTCACAATAAACATGTTTTTAAAATTATGAAACACTAGATTTATCTGGTGTTGTTCGTGTCCTTATCTCAATTAACTTCTGATTTTTGGAAAATAAAATTAAAATGTCCATGCTTCATTTAAATTATTACTCTGGGGTGGGGCTGGGGACGAGGGGTTCAGTAGGCAGGCTGCCCTGGGGAGAGAGGACTACTCTAGCCCTCCTTCATTGCAGCAGCTTGGGGACAGGTGAGAAGTGCCTCTCCATGGCCACTACAGCTCCAATGGGAACAGCTGGGGGAGAGGTGCATGTCCCCCAGCTGGGGCAGGTCAAGGTTCAACTGTCCCCCTGTGCTCCCCATCCAGAGTGAGGAATTCAGGAAACTGTGCACTTTCCCCTCATTCCCTGAGGAAGGGGACCAGCCAGTAATTTTCTTATACCAATCAGAGGACAGGAGGAGAACTTCAGCCTCCCCCCCTTCCTACCTCTCTAAAGTGTACTTGGGGGGTGGGAGGCTCAGGGCTGGGGCAGTCCCAGCCCCTTTTACCTGTCTAGTGATTTTGTTTCTTTACTGAATGGTTTTATGAGAAGCAATCCCATTCTAGGGGCCTCCCATTGACCTGACACAACCAAACCTTGACCTTGCTTTAAGTTATGATAGGAGGAAGCTGCCTACCAAATTTGGTGGGCCTAGGTCTTACCATTTAGGAGAAATTCTTGAATAGTCAGTCAGACAGACAGACTCTCTAAAATATATAGCAGATGTTCAATGAAAAGAGCATTGCAAAATATTTTTCATATTTAACTTTTTTTTAAATGTTAAGATAGCCCTCTCTCTCTCTGACCAAAAAATAATCTGCATTGCTCCTGTAGGTAATGGTTCATTATTGTAGAGTTTGGAAACCGAGTTGCAGTGGTGCTGGAACAATTTTCAGGGTGGAGGAGCTGAGTTATGCCCCGCCCCCCTTACACCTCATCATGCCCCTCCAATGGCTGCTAACTCCCCTACTGGACCAACTAGATACCATTCGCTTCAATAGCCTCTGGTCCATCTAGTCCTGGAGAGTTGGCAACCATAGACCCTTGTCGCCCAGGCTGGGGCCACAGCAGAGGGCAGCTGCTAAATCCCAGGCTAAGGCCAGGTACAGAGCCCTGGGATAGTGGTAGGACCCTGGGTGGGGCCAGAGCCTCTAGGACTGGTGGCCTGGACCTTACAGTCAGCAGGCTGCAGAGCCTAAAGGGGCAGGGCTGGCAGATGACAGGACCTTGACAGCCTGCAAAGCCTGTAAGGGCATGGACAACAGCACCATGGGGGATGGTGAAGCCAGTGGGGCTGGCAGGACCCAATGGGAGGCTGGGACCTGGAGCTGACAAAGCTGTTGGTGGTTTGGAAGGAGGGGTGGCCCCGGGTGTGGGGCTGCAGGGTGCAAAATATGGGGGTGCTGCGTACCCCCTGTACCCTACTTCCCATCCTTATGCTGCATGTGTAATCTGAGAGCGTGGACTTTTGTCCCGATCTACTGACTGGTCCTTGTAAGAGGCCAGAGATTGCTCAGTTGCCAGCTTCAGGCCTTCCTCCATGAAATAAAGTGGAAGAGGCTCAAGCTTTTATCACTCATGGCCCAAGAGAGGTTGGCTACAAATAGCCTTGTTTGTAGAGGCTGGGTACTGAGTTATGGGGACTGCTTATTTATCATACAGTTGCTCATGAACGCTCTTCTAATTTAGAACTGAAAGAGGAAAAGGGGGGAGGAGTTTATAGGCTTCTCTCAGGAAAGAGGGAAAGATACAGATAAAACTAATTGGCCCCCAAATTGACCTGTCACTTTTAAATCCACTTACAATGCACATTTAAAAATATTTCATAACTTACTCAATGTAGTAACATATCTCAGTGGCACAAGAGTACTGCTATGAAATCGAGCCCCTATCAGAAGAGATTTCACTTTTTAATATAACACACACACAAAAATCTGTCTCCTCAGGAGTTATTTTTGTTAATATACAACTTAAGTGGGTAATATTTTTTAGTGACACATTCTATTAACTGATCCATTATATTGATTTACTCATATTACATTTTACAGTTCTGAGATTGGATCACCAATATCTAAGCACCGCTTAGTCTAGTCTACTGCATTGATTGTATATTACTGCCTGAAGAGTGTTTAACAAGCCAAGCATTTCTTACATCTATTGGCTAATTCAGAGTTCAGATGGTCTAGATTTATGTGATTGGATCAGAAAAGCAATATAGGTTTGTACCGCATGGCTGTCGAATTTTGACTGGAGGCTCAGCCAGTAATTTTCTTTGCCCTCTTGCAGAGACATCAGAAATAGCTGGGAGTTAATGCTTGTATAGGGAGTCAGAGTTATGGAAAACTTCAGAGATGTAATTAATGAGAGGTCTCTGGTGTGTCTCAGAGCACGCATCTTCCTGCTAGCCATGGGCAAGTGCATCTGGTCCTGGAGGGAAGGAAGAATAAAGTGCACTCTTTGTCAATAATTTGAACATAAGTCATCAGTGTAACTTGCAACCGATGGCCAAAGAATTCAAGTAGCACGTACAGGTTGAACCTCTCTAGTCTGGCACACTCTGGTCAGGCAACATCTGTGGTCCAGCATGATTTTAGGTAGCCGGATGTCCATTTATCATGGGTGTGGCCAAGTTTCACATGGTCCCATAAAGTTTGTTTACAGCCACCAGTCCTGGCTCTCAGTGCTCTGTGCTATTATTTATCTCTAATTTACCCCTAAATGTCTTCTAACAGCCCAGTAAGCAGTGGAAGTGCTGGTAATGCTGCTGGACAATACTGACTTCCCATAATCTGGCAAATTCTCTGGTTCAGCACCAGTCAGAACTCGAGGGTGCCGAACTAGAGAGGTTCAACCTGTAGAAGCTCCAGCTGACACTGGGGATCCCATTGTGCTGAGCCCTGCATGTACAGTGAATGAGAGACAAACACTGCTCGGAATACCTTACACGCTATATGGACAAGATAGAAAAAATAAGGGACTGATTTTACAGTTTGGGAACAGAAGTAAAGACGGATGAAGAGGCAGATTCTCAAAAGAGCTGAGCTCTCACTTAAATCACCTAAATAATGACTGAGAACTGCATTTTTGACAGGCATTCAGACACCTCAAATGAGAGCTGAGCTCTTGAAATTCTGGCCATAAAAATCTTGCCCAAGGTCACACGGGGAGTCTGTGGCAGAGTTGAGACCTGAACCCAGCTCTCCCAAAGCCCAGTTTAGTAGCTGAACCACAAGAACATCCTTCCTCTCAAATGAAATAGCCTTCGTTATCCCATAAAAAACAATAACCACAACCCACAAACAATTCAGGAGCTCATTATGGGTAAGCCTATACTGCAACCAGAGGTGTGATTACAGCTTGGATAGGCATCCCTGCTTGTACATACTGGCCTACATACTGGCATGAGTCCACCCAGAACACGGGGTAAGTCCTTGTGTTCCTACTTGCTGTGCTGCTGAATCTTAACTACTGCTTTTAGGCCATTGACTGCAGTGTACACGTACCCTAAATGAAAAGCAACTATTATTATTCTTAAGATTAGATTTATACATAAAAGTATATACAACACTTAACCCACTCTTTAACGTGATCATTACGTGACATGCAAATTACCAGAACCAAAAATGATAAAAAGTTTGAAAACCTCAAAATATTTTTCATTTTTCAGGTTTCAATTTTTTTGTTTATTCTTTGTTTTTTAATTGTCTCCTTTCCCCTTTTTGCTCTCTTCCCCCCATCATTTTGTCACTAAAACAGCAGGTGGTGGAAAGAAGGGGGGGGGGAGAAGCCAAAACTGAAAGTCTGTCATTTTCATTTTTTTCCCCATAGAAAATCCATGAGGTTTCTTGTTTTTGTACAAATTGATTTTCCAATTTAAAAAATTATTTGAAAGCTTTTATCCAGCTCTATTGTATGCCATAGAGATGGGACAGCCAGCCACAAGAGAACATCCAAACCATATCAAATCCTCTCCCATTCTCCTGCATGCAACCTTTTCAAGGGTTTATAAGTTTCATTGCGTTCAACCATCAATCAAACCATGCGCTGGTCACCACTTCTTACCTTTAGGGGTGGGACCTTTTGGGGGTGGAAGAGGTAGCCCTCTCTGCCCTATCTCCTAAAGTAGATCTCTGGAGGCATCAGGTTTCTACATCAAAAATGGCCCATTTCCTGCTCCAGAGCAGCAAATCCCCCTTTACCTTTATGCTGGACTTTCCTAAGCAGCTCCCCAGTTTGCCCACCCCGGCATGAATACACATACCTCACCGGAAAGTAACATTGTGGAATGTTCGCTGAGTGCAATTAGTCCATCCCCGAGATTATGTCTTTTCAGCCTGTTGTAGAAAGACCTTAATCCTCGCTCAGTTTTAGCAGCAGAATCCGCTGCTTTGAAATGCCTCCAGACTGGAAACCTGCATCGGGGGAGATTTAAAAAAAAAAAAGGAGGCTTACTTGATCATACCAGATATTTATTACGTCTAGTCTCTCCCAGCTGGGCACTATAGTGTATAGTCTAAATCCAACTGGAGCATCAGGTGAGTAGTGAATGCAGAAAGAAGGGGAATAGTCAACCCTGGTGAACAGGACTTTTGCATCCTAGCTTTTGAACCAATTGATTAATGGAGATGTTATTGAACGTCAGTAGAAATGGAAATGTTTTCATTACGTCTCTTGCTTAGCATTCACCGGGGGAACAGGGGGGCGATGGGATTGGATGGCACAAGGTAATGGGATCCAAAGTTTTTGTTACTGGTGGAAACCCACTCCAGTTTGATAGGGACCAAGGGTCGCTGCCATTGGATTGGCGTTTGGTGCCCTCTGGAACGGGAAGATTTTTCTCTTACCCTAGTATGTCAGTGTTTGGCAGCCTCCTCTCCTGCTCTGAGAGCTGGCTCCCCACTTCTTGGTGGGCAGACGTGAGGTTTGGACTGATGCACACCATGTACTGTAGGGGGACCATATCTATACTGGAAGGGCTCTCAAGACAGAAGTGCTTGTTGCTCTCCACTGAGAGGGAGATGGGGATGTCTGGTGCAACTGTCACTGTCACCCCTTTGGAGACAAGAGGAAGCATTAAAGTCAGGGAACATCCCCATCTCAGATACCCTCCCTCCCCTCCTCCCCTCTGACACCCAAACACCCCAATTCTCCCCTCATGAACCCTCGGTTCTCTTCTAAAATATTCTGGAATCCCCAAGATTTGCCTCAAGTTTCCTCCTCTTTTTGCCTGTGGCTGTACAAATGAACATCCTGACAGAAATCACGGACTAAAGAGGAACTCTCCAAATTACCCCCAGGCTGGTCACCATGGTGCCTTGTACCTAGAGTGCACTGCACTCTGGATTTGCCCACAGGTCCGAAGAAGAGGAGATGGAATAAAGTACAGTCAGTTGTGAAATCAAGGTCATGGGGGCTGTATGCATTTTAAGTCACCAGCCATCTCAAGCAGACTGACCTTCCCAGCCAGTGAAGGGGAAATGAATTACTACCAGGAGAATGGCAATCACAACATGAACATCATCTTGCTAGCACTAATTAACATCTCAGAGGGGTAGCTGTTTTAGTATGCAACTTTAAAAACAACGAGCAGTCCTGTGGCACTTTAGAGTCTAACGTATTCATTAGGTCATACATTTTTGTGGGTAAAACCCACTTCATCAGATAAGTTGGAATACAAATTACAGAATCCAGGGCATATATATCAGCAAAAGAAGTTACCTGTCAACTGTAGGGCCAGTATTAATAAAGCTAATTAAGTCAGGCTGGATGTGTCTCATTCATAGCATGTAATGTGGAAACATGAATATCAAAAGGCGGGGAAGTTGCCTTTGTAGAACATAAATTAATTCCTCTAGCACTGATTAGTTTTTCCTGTATCCAAAGATGCCCATTAATGGAGAGCACCAAGAGCCAGCCATCACTGTCTTGTCCACAACTGCAGTTACTGGCCTCGCACCACATAAGTCAGAGAGCTCCAAGTTCAAAGTGTTTTCACTTTAAATAACTTTCGTAAAACATCTCAACTTTTTTACTCTTTCAGCATGTGACAGTGTGGTTGGATGCTTAGAGGTGTAGCAGACCCCATGAAGGGCACACAGGGAAGGACCAAAGAAAATTCTCCAAACTAGCCCTAAACTTTGCCTTAAAGTCGATACAATGTATCCGTTACTAGTTCTCTGAAAGTCTCCATGGAAACAAAACTGCATTGTTCACTGTAAAAGTAGGTAAAACTTTCTTTTATTAAAGTATTCTGACAAAATGTGTGTCTGGGGAGAAGAGGAAATAGATTAGCCCAGAGGTGGTGCTAGCCCATAGGGGGTCCTACATAGGAATATTTTGGGGGTCCCCCACAACACATAATAAAAAAGTGAGCTGTTGCCGTAGTCCACAGTGCCCCTTGAAGTCCCAGCACTCCCTCCGCCTCTGCCCCCGCAACTGAAATCCTTATCTGTGGTGTCCCCCTGAATCGCCAGCACACACACATCCTGCTGATGCCCCAGTCTTTACCCCCTCTCACCTCCCAAGCCATGATAAAAAGGTCATGCGAGACTGTGTCAAATGTCTTACTAAAGTCTGGTATATCACATCCACCACTTCTCCCTTATCCACAAGACTTGATATCCTATTAAAGAAAGCTATTGGATTGGTTTGACATGATTTGTTCTTTAGAAATCCATACTGGTTGTTACCTATCACCTTATTTTCTTCCAGATGTTTGCAGATGAATTCCTTATTAACTTGCTCCATTATCTTCCCTGGCACAGAAGTAAAACTGACTGGTCTGTAGTTTCCTGGGTTGTTCTTATTTCCTTTTTTAGACATGGGCACTATATTTGCCCTTTTCCAGTCTTCTGGAATCTCTCCTGACTTACATGATTTTTCAAAGATGATAGCTAAAGGCTGAGATACCTCCTCTATCAGCCAGCTCCTTGAGTATTCTAGGATGCATTTCATCAGGAACTTACAGACATCTAACTTTCCTAAGTAATTTTTAACTTGTTCTTTTATTTTAACTTCTTAACCTACCCCATTTCCACTAGCATTCACTACATTAGGCATCCTGTGACCATCCATCTTCCTGGTGAAAACCAAAACAAAGAAGTCATTAAGCACCTCTGCCATTTCCAAGGTTCCTGTTATTGTTTCTCCCTTTTCACTGAGGAATGGGCATACCCTGTCCTTGGTCTTCCTCTTCCTGCTAATATACTTATAGAACATCTTCTTGTTACCCTTCATGCCTTTAGCTAGATTTAGCTCTTTTTGTGTCTTTGCCTTTCTAATCTTGCCCCTGCATACCTGTGTTGTCTGCTTATATTCATCCTTTGTAATTTGACCTAGTTTCCACTTTTTATATGACACCTTTTTGATTTTTAGATCATATAAGATCTCCCAGTTGATCCAAGGCGGTATCCTGCCATACTTTTTATCTTTCCTACATAGTGTCCTGCTGTGTTAGTTTCCCAACAGATGTCTGGATAGTTGAAGTCTCCCATGTGAAGCTAAACCTCCTCTTCACCCTTCTTTTATCTCCCTGATTCTTGCATGAGAGCACAATGCAGGGCTGTTTTTGGCCATGACTTTATTGGGGATTGTCATGAACAGGGGGAGGGCTGACCGGCACCCGGTGACTAAGGGGTTAACACAGGTACCTAGCAAAGGTGTTGACCAGGGGGCTGGGAGAGCCAACTGAAATAGAGGGTTAAAATTTGAATTGGATATAGGTTCCCTGTGGCAGAGTAACACCAGGAGTTGAGAGACACAGAATGATTTAAACCCAGGCAGGACTACACATGCCTCTCCCCCCGCTCCTCACCCCAGAATTCAGGGCATGGGAGCGGACTGAACCAGGGCCAGCCCGACGCATTCTGGTGCCCTGGGCTACGCCCCCGGGTGTGCGGCACATGCCCAGGCCTGCCCTTGGGGAGCGGGCCCACCCCCCTAGGGAGCGCAGGCCCACCTCTGGGGTGCATGGCGCATGCACGGGTGTCCCAACCAACTTTCATCACCATTCAGTCCATTAGCATGTGAATTGAATTTGCAAATGAACTGTAATTCCAATGCTGCCCTGTGGATCTAGCTTGTAGAGCTGCTTTGTGACAAGACAGCTACTTGGAGATCTGTCAGAGTGTGATTTGGAAGGTTGAAATATTCCCCAACAGATTTCTGTACATTTCCTACATCGACTGATTCCGCAAATGCGCTCGAGCTGACATTAGCTGGCGCGCAGCCCGGGGTCCGCCCCAGCCCGGCCCGGCTAGTGCTGCTGGTGCGCGCGCCAGGCCGTACAGGGCCCCACGGCCGTGGTGGGAAGGGCGCTGCGGGAGCTGGGCGCGTGGCGCCTGATGGCAGCTGTAAGGGATGCCGCACACCCCTTACAGCTGCCATCAGGCGCCCCCCATCGGTTGGTGCCCTGGGCAGCTGCCCGGCTCACCCATGCCTCAGTCCGGCCCTGGACTGAACAAAGAGAAAATTAGAAGTGAGTACCAGGGAATGCGAGTCCAGTTGCATTCAGGGTAATTTTTCTTTATTTTGTGGTTTAGTTTGAACTGCTCTGTGTGAATCTATGCTAGCCTTCCCCATTTACTACCATCTAAAATTTGTGCTGAGACTTTTTTCTCTGGTTTTTAATTTGTTTTCCTTAGTTGCTCTGTACATCTGGCAACGAAGTATGCTTTATCAAGTTTCTCTTTTGTTTTGTAATAAAAATCATTTGTTTTAAGGTGGTGATTTGATTTTTGTGTCCTGGAAAGTCTGTCTGTATGTATCTGCATGCCTCTGACTGAGGAGTCAGCTACCAGGGACTGCAGCTTGTTTTTCTTTTTTCTTTTTCAAGCTCTTTTGGGGCAAAAGAGCTTGGAGTATCCTTGGGGTGGTTTCAAGTGTTCATCCCTGGTTTTTTTAAGGATCAAAAGCACTTGATGGGGCAGCAAATTCTCCCAAATCTGTGTATTAGGATTTCGGGGGGAAGGTTTTGTAACCAGTGCCTGTAGAGGCAAGGGTTTGAAGCTCTCTTATGGGCTCCCACCTTCTGCATTCGGAGTGCCAGAGTGGGGAACAGCTTTGATAGAGACCTTTACATTAAAAAAGTAACCCTTTTTTATAATTTCACAAAAATATTTTTGTTTGGATTGGTTTTTTGTTTTGTTTTGTTACAAAAAAGTACATTATTTGACTTCTTGACAGGGCTGGAGGGTTAACAAAACTATGGATGAGACAGCATAGTCATTGGTAAGAAATGAAAGAAACATGAAGAATTTGAAGAACAGTAGAATTCAAAGGCCTCCAACTAAGGCCAGAGCTTCCATGTGCTAGATGTATATATTCAGAACAACATATTATCTGTCTTATAACTTCTCCAGGGAGAAGACCACATTTGAGAAAAAGGAAGCACTACTTTCTCTCAGTTTACAGCTGGGGAAGTGAGGCACACAGAGATAAAGTGATATGCCCAAGACCAGACAAAAAGCCTGTGGCAGGGCTAGAATCTGAACCAAGATCTCCTGAATCTCAATGTCTTAATCCTGAGACCACACTTCCTCTCCAACCTAGCTAGAACAAGTACAGTAAAAATCAAAATCTGACTGACACTCCCCCCAAAAAAAATTCTGCATCAGAACGGAGCTTTCCTTGTTGGGGGAAAAAGAAATATATAGCTATATGTAATATACAGTTATCAGGCTCTTGAATTGTCGTGTAAGCAGCAAACTATCTATAATATTCCTAGGCAAGCAATTTCTTTTGTCCTCATTCTATTCAGCCTAAGCCAAAAAAGACACAAACCAAAAGTCATTATGTTACACGTTGGATTTCACTAAAACATTCCACTGCTCAGATACCGGGCCCCCATAAATCCATTTCCCATGACAGATTTATAGTTCATGCCTGAAAGTTGTGTTTACAGATCAAACATGACCCTTTCAGTCTTTGAAGCCTGGCCACGATTTGATCCGGCTCTAACTCAAGGCTCTTAGTGTACAAGCCCTGATCAAGTGTTCTACATCTGGGTCTTGATCCTGCTTCTGATGAAGCCAATGGTAAAAGTTCTATTGACT